GCACGAATTTTTCGTCCGACCACAGTATGATTCCCAAAGGGTAGTCGATGGCATGCAGCGTGCCATGCGTGATTGCATCGAAGGTCACACTTGGGTCGCAGGAAAGTCAGTGTGACCGCATTTTCAAGAAACTCGCATTTTTTCTAGTGCCCAAAAGCACATCTGCGCCGCAGAACTTTCTGCGAGCCCAGCTGCGTCAACTTTGAACTTCCCTATTGGCCGTAAACGGGTAACTAAAGACATCGCGGAACTAGACCGTAATGTAACGGTGTCGTTATAATCTACAGAACCGTCCTGGCGGTAATCACCCAGAAACGACGCCCCTCTCCCAGGTTCAGAAGCAGTGAATATCATTCATGTAGGAGCGCGGTAACGGAAGACTACGATGATGAGAGTCTCAGTCCAGGATATGGTAATCGGGGACTGAGGGAAGTCGACGCGCTGGCGTCTCTAACGGTACGCAGCGGAGTTGCCGTATAAGGAAAGTAATAGAGCGGAAGTAAGTAACGTATAGAAAGGAAAATTGTATAGTATTAATAGTCTGTCTTGAATGTATCTACAACACGCGGGTGGCTGATCCTCCTTCCAAGCTGCCCCAACATCGGATACCATACGGGTGGCATCATAGCAATAGTCGCGCCGGATCGACTCCCATCAGGGAGTGCCCGGAACAATCTTGCGGGGATCGTACCCCGGCCGAGGCGCAGTGGACGCGGAAGACGGGCACTTACTCACTGTACGGCTATTCCATGCATATACATTTGAGTTATGATACATACAAGAATGACCATGTGCGAGACGAGGAAATCCGACCGGATGGGATGAGCAACGAGCATGATGGGGATGGGATGGTGATGGTGATGACAGTGAGGGATAATCGGGTTTGCATTTGCGAAACTTGAACGATAGCAGACAGCGTGAAAGCGATACAAATGGACAGAGTGATGCAAGACAGAGACATTGAAGAGTACAGACAGAAAAACCAGAGACAATGTGAAAAGGAACAGATGAAACAGACGCAACGTCTAGACGTCGAACGAGATGGGCCAGACACCATCGCCCTGGGAGTGCTTGTATCAAGCCTTGTCAAATCGAACGCAGAGGAGGGGACGCACCAGGGAGATCCGCCTCGTCAGCGATACTCGGCGCCCGCATCCGGTCCCGCATGCGCGTACTCGTCTCCCTCCGAGGACCACTCGCCCTCCGGTGTCTCCTCATGCTCGCCCTCTCCGTCTTCGTGCATGCCCTCCTCCGCCTCACCCTCGTCCACCCAGCTCCCTTCCTCCTCTTCCTCCTCTGCGGCGTCATCCTCATCTCTGAACCACTCCATCGCCTCTCCCCCGCCTACGCCCGCGTCCATCTCCGCTTTGACGCGCTCCGTCTCCGCGTCCCTGCAGCTCTCATGCACGTACCACGTCGCGATCGGCCGCCCCGCGCGCCGGCGGTGCTCTACCAGCGCGCGGATCGCTGCGCCTGAGACACCCGCAACGCGGAGCGTGTGCAGATTCGGCAGGAGGATGTCTGGCCGGTCCTCCCTCGCCCTCTCCTTGCCCTTGCCCTTACTCTTGCTCCTGCGCCTGCCCTCTTGCCCGTCAGCGCTGTCGAGTAAGACTTCGAACGCCCCGCCCGCCATCGTCGCCGCATCGAGCTCGAGCACGCGCAGACTCGCCGAGCGGCGCAAGAGGCGGGCCCAGCTCGCGAGCGCACAGTCGGCGAGCGCGCCGATCGCGAGCGTTTCCAGCGCGGGGAACATCGGCGGAGGCTCTTGCGGCTCCGCGATTCCGCTCCCTGCCCTCTGCCTCTCCTCCTCCTCATCCCTAGCTCCACTCCTGTTCACTGCAGCAACCACCTCGGGCGGGGGGACGTACGGCACGAGGGGGTCGAGTTCGGCATCACGCAAGGCCGCGGGCGAGGGCGGATGCGCGAGCAGGGCCGCGAGGGGCGCAAAGTCTTGCGGGGCCTCGGGGTCGCCGAGCTCGAGCTGCAGAGCGCGCAGGCGCGGGGCAGTGAATGTGCGCAGGATCGCGCACGCATACGGCGCGTCGAGGTCCGCGAGACGCACCTCTGCAAGGGACGGCAGCGGGACGGGGCCGGCAGGGACGTCCGGGTCCAAGTCGTCGTCGTCCGCGGAGTCCGCGGAAGTGCTGGTGCTAGTGCTGGTGCTGCCAGTGCCGATTCCGGGGCTGACGCTAGGTGAGCGCGAGCGTGAATAGGGGGCTGCAGAGAGGCGCCAGAGCCCGGCCTGCGCGCGGGGGCCCGAGTAGTGGAGGGCGAGGCGGACGAGGGCGGGGGATGCGGCGAGGACTGCGCGCCAGCGGTCGATGGGGATGCGCACGTCGTCCGAGTGTACGCCGAGCTCGAGGTGGGTCAGGCGGCGCAGGAAGGGCGACGCCGACGCGGTCCACTGGATGTTGACGCCGAAGAGGGCGAGGCGGGCGAGCGCAGGGAGGCCGCCAGCAAAGACGACGACGGGGGGCGGGCCGATGGCGTTGAAGAGCCGCTCAGGTGAGCCCCAGTCTTGGATGTGCCACAGCGCGAGGTCGGCGAGGGTTGGGGCAGGGCCGCACGAGGACAGGACGGTGCGGGCGTGGGCCTTGCACTGCAGGTCGCGTACGCGCAGGACGAGGGCGCGCCAGCGTGCGATGTGCGGGGTGAGGGACGCGAAGGCGTCGAGGAACTCATCGCGAAAGACGGAGTAGCCAGCGACGGCGTCAGCCTCGGAGGCAGAGTCGACGAGGAGGTGGAGGGGGTGTGTGCGGGAGCGGACGACGTACTCACGAGCGCGGGCGATGTGGGGGACGACGCGGATGGCGATGTGGGACCAGAGGGCAGGGGTGGCGAGGGCGGCGGCGCGCCAATGAGCACAGACGTGGGAGACGGTGAGCTCGAGGGGCGGGTCGTCGGGAAAGGCGGTGGACGAGGGCGGGGGGTGAGGGTCTTGGCCAAAGAGGAAGATGCGGGTGAGGAGCTCGATGGGGAGGGCGTGGATGGAGGTGGCGGCCATGGGAGGACGAGGAGAACGGAGCGAGTCGCAGGTCGCTTTAGAGAGCGCAACCCCAGCCGACGGCTGACGATGCGACTCCATCCCAGATCCGCCTCCTCTTCGCCTCCCATTCACTCCTTTTCCGGCTCCGGCTCCGGCTCCGGCCCCGGCCATCGCCGACCCTGCCTGCCGGATGCTTGCCGCCGCCACCTCCGCCGCGCCGAGTCCGGTCTTGACCCCGTCGCCCGGATGCGCGTCTGGTAACGCCTTCTCCCGCGACCACTGCGAGGGTTCGATTACGCTCACCCCACCCCATTTCACGCTTCGACCTCGCTGCACGGTGCCAGCGTCGTTCGTTCCGGAATGCATTGTGCCCTGAATCGTCCTCGTCCTCCGCTGATGTCCCTGCCCATCAGCACCACTATCACGCTATCACACTGGCAGGCCTCTGATATTCCATGTCTTGGCCGCTCGCTCACACGCGCGTCCGCACTCCTCCTCTTCCGAGTAGAGCCTCCGCCTCGGAGCCCCTTGCGAGACGCTCGACTCGGCCGCACGTCGCTCGTCCACGGCCGTAGCAACCGCGACGGACGCTGCACCGACTGACTGCAGTGCACAGACGATCGCAGCGCCCCTACTCTGATCTGCCTCCGCGCACCACATATCCGTTCGATCACTCCGTCGTGGCGTCGATTGCCGTCCGCATCTGAAACAAATCTCCAGTACCTCTGCAAGTGGATGACTATTCGACAATACCAGGCTCGCAACATGTAGTACCCTCAGGAGCCACCAAGCCAGTGCAACACTGTTGTGCTCACATATGCACCGGCTGCCACTGCATCATGTGGTCCTCGCCCGCATGGGATCAAACCAACGGGCTGCGGTACAGTCATCGACAATGTCTCAGACTCCCCATTCACCACACCGAGAGCTCCCCCGCGACGGTCTCTCGCGGGACCCAACCTTCCCATAGCACGCACCGCGTCTGGCCCAACAGCACCAGGCGCGCACATGATCTGGCCGTCTGACCGCATTCGTTAGTCAAGCTCCCAGCTTCTAGCTGTCCGCCTGTGCTCAACCATCGCCTTTCAGTACTTCACTATCCCAATCTTTACGTCCAGCTCGTCTAGCGTTGCAATGGCAGAAGACACCCTGAGGGTGCGACCGCTCGTAGCACATACGCTCCTGAGGCTGTGCGGGGGCGCGCCTCCCACACTCGCAGCGCACCAGGCGACGGGCTCGGGGGACGACCGCCTGCACCGCCTGTTCACACATGTCCAGGCCTCCGCGTAACCCCCTCCGCACGATGACCTGCCTCGCCGCCTGACCCGCCTCACGGGATCGCGCCCTCCGGGTACCGGGCCTCCAAGCAGGTGTATCACGCACGGCGCCGCCTTCACTGCCTGCGCGCTGTGCGGCTCTATCTCATTTATTCCCTGCTGTATCCCCACGATAAGGATCCTAGAGCCCTGCGCGCGAAGATGAGCCCGGCAGCATACTGAGCGGTTATTTTTCCTTCTCTTCCCTTCCTTTCTCCCCGTCTGCCCCGCTGTCCCCGCCGGTCTCTCTGGCGACGAGGCGCCAGAACCCCGTTCTGCCACGCGCGAAGACGTGAATGCATACGTGCCCCGCTCGCCTGCGCGCGTGCGCGCGGAACACGGCGAGGTGCGCACATCCGCTGCGACCAGTCTCCTGCGCCTCTGCGCCCTCGACGCAAGCCGGGCGTATCCCCCTTGCTCTCTGCAGGTGCCGCCACCGTTCTAAGGCGCGTGGAGGAAACGACAGACGGTATATAGACCGTCGGTTGTTTCACGTCTGCCCTTTGTGGTGGCGTTCCTGCATGATTGACATTCGCTGCCTCCCCGACCTGGGAGAGGGGCGTCGTCTCCGGGTGATAGCCTCCCGGACGGTGTCGTAGATGTGGTCACTCTGCACGTATACTACGGTTTGGAGGAGAAACCTGGAATAGTAGAAATAAAAGATAAAAAGAGTGACTGTCCGTGTCCGGGTCGGTGTGGGGCATCGGCATCAGAACCCGCTGCAATTCATTATAATCGATCTATGCGTTGGAGTCGCGCCAAGGTACTGTCTGCTTTGCATTGAGAAGAGGAAGATCCCCGATCATCCAATTCTGGGCCGTACACATCTCTTCTGCGACCGAGTTCCTCCTTTGCAACGATTGGAAGGATCCACTCCGCAGAGCGCAGACGGCGGGCTGGACACGTTCTCCGCAGCATTTCTCTATCATCACCTGCCCCCAGTCATCAGCCAGCTACCTGATGTGCGTGGGCCAGGGTCGGTCGAGACGAGAGTTGTGGCGCGCGGCGGAGATGAATCTGACGAGGACCGAGAGCACCGACGACTTAATCGACCGCCCGAGAGCGAAGCTCGGGACGGCCTGTGCTGAAATGATATCACAAGCACCCAACTCCGTGTGATGCAGCTAATTCGAAGCGGGCGAGACGCAAGCCGGACTGGGATCTTCAGCTTCATCTCATCTGAAAGAATGCAACGGTTTGGCGAGCTCGGGTACCACTGGCAGTAAGCACTTCTGAATGGGTTTGAAATTAGACCCTTTGCGAGAAGCACCTTTTCGGTGGCGTTCTCGGGTGGTCTGAGACCTGACTCGGGTGTGATCAATAAATGGGACACAATAATGTAGGGGATCGATCTTATGTCCCATTTCCACGCTTTGCCTTTTTCTACGGTCACTGACATGCAATCCCAGAGACTGCGCAGTCGGAACGGCCAATTCTACCTCACGCAATTGCACCGTCCTCAAGCACATAATGAGTGTCATCGTCATTGGCGACCATGACAGCAAGAAGTATTCGTGAGCGAGAGGTGCGTTGTTATTACGATTAGAATGACCCCGCGCTGCAGGGTGGCGAGGCGGTGTATACAGTACTTACGTATTGGCGAGACCACAGAACATGCGTTACGCACCCGAACTCTACCGGACATTCTAGCTCGAACCCTATCAGCATTGCGACCAGGGACTTGATGTCTACTTGCGGGGCCTGGGTCCAACGTCTGGAGGTCAGGTTTTCCCCACCCCACCTTTACCTCCCCTCCTTATCGAGCCTCAGCCGCGCCTGCTCGAGCGCGCGGTACACGTCCGCTGCGAAGCTTGAGTTGGGCGTGAGTTCCAGCAGACGCTCAAGAGCGGGAACCGCCGCGCGCGTGAGCAGGAGGTGCGGACGTGGGGGCACATTGTGCCCGTTGTTTGGTGCACATGCTGGGCCTGCTGTATTGGATGAGCTTTTCGAATCTACTGATTCTATAGGAGTAGACGAAGGGCCTGACGGCGTATCCGGAGTGACGTGCGCTGAACCAGCGGTAGATGGGGAAGGCGATGATGGGGGTTCCTCAGAAGAATCCGAGTGTGATGTAGCTGACGCCTCAGGGTCAGGTGGGACAGGTGCATGTTGGGTATAAATATCATCGAGCTCAGAACTTTCCTGCGGCAAGATTGCGCCTTGGGCAACGAATGCTTCTAAATATTGAGACGCCTTGAACGCTGGGACGAACGAGATGAGCGCGTATGGGAGGAGCAAACCGCACAGCGATGCTCACCTTGGTAGTGCGACCATGCGCGCCATGCACAGAAGAAGAATGGGAAGTTCGGGACTATGGCTAGGATACAAGGGTTTAATGGATGACAATGGATGACAAGAAAACGTGCTTTTGACGTACGGATAAGCATGAATGGCGCGGTGAGTGGGGCAATTGCGATCCACATTATACAGCCCTTCCGATGGCGAGGGGTGCGTTTCGCAAGGAGTGACCGCAGATGCGGGAGGGGAGATGCACATGCCGATGGAGGGTAAATCAAAGGGATCTGTCCATACGACGTTGAGGGCATGGGAAACGATGCATGGGGATGAACGCAATAGGGACATCACATCAAAGAAAGTACTGGGTCAACTCATTGTCAATGTTTTAAAAGAAAGAATACGGTGCACTCACCGTGGGGTGGTCTTTCGGTCTAACCTTCTCCGTGTAGCGGTTAGGAATTAGCTTGGGTCCAAGGGAGGTATCGAAGGACTTGAGAGCAAGCTCTTCGAAGTCAAGGCGGTCAACCAGACGTTCTCCATACAAGAATACTCTCCTCTGTTATACGGATCAGGCCAGGAAGAGTACCCAAACATGTTGCGCTTGAGAGCTCATCTCGTGGAAAATAAAGTATGATGCAACACACCTTCCAATTGCCCTCGGGCGCCTTGCCAAGATCAGCCCACAAGCTCGAAGCTTTTAAAGTCACCCAATTTTCCCAGCTATCTTGCTGCTGCGCAGATGGAGGAGGAGTGGCGAAGTGGTAGTAGGTGAGGTGCTCCGAGTGCGCATGTGTCGGCGTCATGCGCGGGGCGGGCGTCGCGAGCGGGAGGGCGATGATACGGACGGAACGTTTTGCGACGTTAGCAAACGACATTGCCCTCACCCTCAGTACAATGAGGAATGTCGACCTTTGTCAATGTTGCGCGTCCAAGCACAATATCGGATTTGGCAAACCTAGAGAAACTTCAAGCTCATGCGACGACGCGCGCAGCGAGACGCCGCGACTGGGCGCTGGCCCCAATGGCGCGTGATCTCGCATTAGGCGCCTGCTCCGTTTTCTGAATCCTGGCTGTGGTGGCCTGCAGGTTTCCTGCCTGCGACGACCAGCGTCGAAGTCGTAGCAAAGCAAAATTGGCCAGCCATGCACACGCCACTCGACCACGGATCCCCCGACTCATCTGACTCGGACTATGCAATGGACACAGATCGCTCCGGCATATTCGAGTCAACTTCATCTGGCTCATCTAAGCGTCGCATGGCCGCCCTCTCTCAAGGCTCTAGCACGCGCGACGCGAAGAGCAGAAAACGAGAGGACGCCGGGAGGCAAGCTGCTATGAGACACGTGGTCGGTGGTATGCCCTTCGATGTGAGGGATTATCCTGCAACAAAGCCCAAGGACGAGCTCGTTGACGTAGAGATTGTGGAACGGTTGCGCATCCGTACGTGGGTGCTCATTATGGGATGAGCTACAGCTTATCGATTATCTCTTCAGAATTCGGAGACCCATTTGATGATTCCGCTATGAGGAGTAATGCTTAAAACAGCAGCGTGCTGTCCGTCTTGGAAACCTCAGTGTATGTGCGTATGCAGTGATCGTTGTCTTGATATCTACACTCACCCTTGCAATAGCAATATCATTTGTAAAGCTTTGTAACACTGTAAAAAATACATGGTTTCGCGTTCGAAGTAACACAGTCCTCTAGCAACATTCGGGGATTGCGAGTTCATCTCGTACTTCTGTGCTCCGGTGCTCAAATATAATGAATCCCGCGGCTGAAATTACAGATTTGCAGGTCTTTTGCGGTAGCTGAAGGCTGCTTTCGACCTTTTGGACTCCAGCATCGATCCATAGGATGTTCAACACGGCAAATGACATTCACAATATGCTCTCATACAGCATATATTAAAAAGATAGAAATTATACATTCTACTCAAAGTCTTCTATCTGGTAGAGTGGCAAGTTTGTTTCATCTTCAGCATACTGACGATTGATTTTCACTGGACACGTGGGATAGGCGATGCTGACTTTGTCGATGGTTTTTGCACGAATTGGCAATATCTTCGAGCCCATACTACTATATGTACAAGAGCAAGACTTCAAATGCCGATCATTTCCTAGTTGCGTCCCATTTCGTTTCAACGAATTCCAATATCTCGAGCGGCACAACGGGACACGATGTTGCTATCACCAATACATACGATGCCTTCTGTTATATTCGAAAGTGAACGCTGTCACTCACACTGTTTTCCCTCAGGCAACTGCAATGGGCTGGGCAGCACTTCCCACATCCACATTAGCGCCAGCTTTGGCTAATTCCTCCAGCCTCTTCCGTTCGTCCTCCAACATCTTCTGCTGCAACAAGACGCGCCTCGGCGTGACACGCCTCCTCTCCGTAGTCGGTTTGAAGTCGAAACGGTCCACTCCAAGCGCCTTCAGCGTCTTCAGCTCGACTAGACTGTACTCGCTCGGGTCGTCCCGCGCAAAATTGAACGGTTCTTTCAAGCCTACCGGCGGGTTTGTGATAACGCGCACCTCACGGAGGTGGTTCTTCGATGCCGTGTGCAGCATCAACGGGTGCATGAGCACCACGTCGCCGATCTCGCCCGTGACCTCTACGAAGCGCTTGCACCGCTTGATCTCCTTCAAATGCGACCAGTATTCCGGATCGTCCTTCGGCTCCGCCGCAGTGCTCGTTGATGGCGTGAATGAGAGCCCTGTGGGGAGCACGCCCTCGGGATGCGCTGCGAGGTACGGTGCGATGAGGTCGATGCCGTCAGGTGAGATGTATGTGCCGCCGCCGCGGGGCTTGATGTCGGAGAACAACGGGATGACGAGCATCGCTTGCTCGGGCGAGTCGAGGAAGTGCACGAAGAAGTCCCCGTCGACGTGCCAGTTGTCGAGATCCGTCGGGTGGATGTACTTGTCGGGTCCCTCAAGTTCGGGCGTGCCCAGGTTCACGATGAAGCTGTCGCCCCACGTGCTGCTCGGTGGGTCGATGCGCTCCTCCCCACCAAGGAGGTCGGCCATCGCGTCCCAGGCCTGTGGTAGGTTATCACCGATCTGCAGTCATAGGATGAAGCCCAAGGCAAACCTTGGGTGCGAACGCGGCGACGGGTTCGCGCTTGTGCCAGGGCATATGGATGCGCTCGCGGTCCCAGGTGGTCTTGTCGGTCGGGTCGAGCCCTAGGCGCACCCACATGTCTTTCGTCCATTCTGCAGCCTTCTCGGGTGTAAACGCCTGTTTGATCACGATATAGCCGTTCTCCATGAAGAACTCGACATCCTCCTCTGCACAGACATCACCGCCGTCTTGGCGTCAGTTCCGCCCCCCGCTGAAGGGGGAATCCCAACTTACGAGTGAGATATTTGTATTCCTTCGCCATAGTTTGCGCTTGATACTCGACGTTCAGAGTGATAGTGAAGCAAGCAGCGATAGCAGCGATGCCTGGGCTGTCCACGAACTATTGGCGTTGGCCATTTATCTTGCCTGCGAGCGGGAAAAGCTCGGCGCGTCCTCCGTACTACCCCAGGTCATATGCTTATTCTCCGATTGCCTCCTGCAGAGCAGTGCTGTCTGTATCGCGGCTTGTGACGTCCTGGTCGGTCTCATGAACGATACAGGGCTCAGGATTGCAGGGTCTAGGGGCTACAAAGGTATACTAATTCCCCCGGGTCGCTGTGCGATTGGCATTCATGGCTCATTCGGAAGCCCGCTCTATGTCTGCGTGCCTGCAGGAAGAAGGGAGGTGCAATGCATCGTGGTAACGCCGATGAATGCGACGTCCAGGCGACTCTGGCTATGTCACGGTTGGCACTACCTGGCGCATGCTCAGTCAGCATGCGCGCACAATGAGGTGCTGCGAACATATGGTGTTGGGCTGGCGTGTGGCTAACAACGTGGAGAAATGACCGAAGTCAATTACCATCTCGTGGCCGGACGAGCGTATATATACAAAGGAAGGGGATAGTAACGAGTGCTCTCGATCGGAAGACTAAATAACTGAAAGCAGTACACTTCAAGTCTGTCAAAATCTAGTGGGTGAAGTGGCAGTCTGGCGCCTGGCCATCTGCGGGCTAGCGTACGAAAGATGTGATGTGTCATAAAATATTAATTGGCGGAGGTCGAATAGGAAAAGGTGTCGCAGTATAATATATCTAAGGGAGAAGCACTAAATTAGCATATCAAAGATCAAATTTAAACGACAATCAAACAACATACGTGTCTTCGAGGGCCAAGCTTAATGCTGAGGCCCAGGACAGTTTGCGTTAAGGTGTCGTCGGAGGGCGTCGCTACGAGTGAAATGAGCGTGGCAAAGAGGGCATTGCCTTCTAGCACTCTCAAGGTGCACCGTGGCGATGTGCCTTCCCATGTTGTCATACTGAAGCTCTGCATTACATACTGCACCATCAGCTTGCCACTGGCATCTGCCGACTTGTCGTCCATGCCAGGTAGGGAAATGGGTGCCTTTCAGATGCCGCTTCATCCCCGACCCCGATACATCGTCCAAGGGGATACCACAGGGAACTGCGCCCCACTGGCAGGTCGCAGAAGCCACATGGGAAGCTGCCTGGGCCATTATATGATATGACGGACGATTGGGGAGCTTAATCCCGACAATAAGTTAAAAAAGAGGCTTGGAAGTACATAGGAACTCACAAGATTAGGGAAAGATGGCAGGGCGGGGATACCTACGAGGCATACTAACATCAAGCTAAATACTAGAAGACGACACTGTGTAGTGCCAGTGGCCAGATCTCCCGAGTCTCTATCCTCTGCGCAGACATCGCTGTACCATGGCCCACACTGTCTGCAAAGCGGGCGTACAAGGACACACAAGGTCAGTGTGCCACCGTAAGTAAACCAACGGGTATCTCGCACACATCGATCACGGCCGTGTATGAACTCGCAGTCTCCACTTGACTGCACCCGAAGCTGACTCATAAACGTTTGAACCCCCTTCATGTTAAGCATTATACAATCGTCCGAAAACGGAGGCGTTAGGACAAGCATGTCAGGATGACAATAAAGGAAATCGGAAAAGGGCGGCTCTAGATTGTTAGTCTGCAAATGGAAGCTGAACTCATAATTGGAGTGAAAAGTACAGGCGGACGCACATGAACAATCGGTACCGCAATCCAGCGCTTTGGACGAACTGCGGGCACAGGTCAAAGGTCCCGAGCAGCGCATCACGCCAAACGATCGAAGCAATGCATCGAACCGTCGGCACGTCATACGTGTTTGTATTTGGCATGTTCAATTATCCGCAGACTCACGCTATGCAGGCCCGAGGCACATGCCGATTGCCGCAAAGCGCTATGAACTTCTCGAATCCTTGATTCGAGGATAGCCTAGGCCGACCTTAACAATCCACGCGCCTAGGTTGCAATGTTAATACGCAGCTCACCGTGCTGAAATGACCACAAAAGTGGTGTACCCTGAAATGATGGGTGTCATTCACCATGTCTGTCTGGGGTCCTGTGTCATGTAATTTTCATATGGGAGGCTTGTTGAAACGAATTTAGGGACCATATCCCGTAGCAATGACAATTTGACAGTTGACTGCATTAAACTCACCACAATGAGTAATGAGTAGGGGCGAACACATCAATGAGATCGAGTGCATGTTCGAGGGATGCCTGACAGTCGCGAGGATTCGGAACACATTCACGCCGTGATACGGCGCGCCTCGCGCACACGTTCCGCCATGCCAGTATCCACGGGACATCTCGCCTTGGACTGGCGCGAAAGGGAAGTGTGGGGGGCGGACATTGCGTGTAGTGCACGCTGTATGGGACCACGCATGCTTCGGCTCATAAATTTCTTTAAAACTAGCCCCAATGAGGGCCTTATGGTTTTCGATCATGCCGCTTCTAAGTATAGAGAGCGATTACGCAGGCGGTCGCGACAGTGTAATTTGAGTGACTCACAGTCTGGTCGGGATTCCGACTTACGAATGGTTTTAACATGGGATCTCATTCACGTGCACTGGACCTGTACCGGATGTATCTCCTCCTCTTCTTATTAAACCTTCATGACATCAGTGAGCAATCGCGTCAGCGACAACTGGAGGTTGCAGCCACGTCCATAACTTGGATTTTGTAATTGATCACTTCACCAAAGTGAGAAGGTACCAGGAAAGATGTTCACTGGGTAGGGCAAGTCCTTGCAAAGTTCATCAGTGGGAGTGTATGCTATGAAGTTAGGAAAAGACAAAGACGACTGCTGATTGCCGCGATAGCACGAGCCAAGAGTACGAATGGCGCAAGCGCCCACATCGCCACTGAAGTGCTGATCGGTGATCACGACCGTTTCACCTCAAGTTAACTAAATAATTGATGACCTCGAACTCTGTGGCTTTGCATTATGGATAGTAATTAAATCAAGGATTTTTTTACACTAACATAGGATGGCATTGCTCACGAAACCAGGAAAATACTCACTGATCACTGGTGTCATCGAATCGGACGGTTAGTAGCCTAGCGAGTATGAGCAAAATTGAGTCAAACTGAATTTTAAGAAGTCCACTCGCATTCTACTGTGGGCCAATATATTGCAATCAATATATAAAAATGCAATGAATCAAACAATAATAATGGTGGATGAATCGTTTCGATCCGAGTCTAAGCCCATGTATACACTTGCTTCGTACGTCTTCCTTCTGACAATGGTAATGGGCGTCATGCCTGCAGCTCGCAGGTTCTCTATTGTTGGGTCCTCCACACGTCCGACGATCTCTCGCAGTTCGTACTTTTCTGAAATGAGCCAAGCAAGGTCAAGGATACCGAATGATTGTATAGCAATATCTTTGTTATTTTTTCCACGGGTCAATGAGATTGATAGGGCTAACAGCACTAAAGATGCTGCAAGTCCTATTGATATCTTGGATTTTATTCAGTAGGTCATGGCATGAATTGTAGCTGAATTAATGAACGCACTGGTAAGATGTTCAACTGTCCAGTAAGAAATGACTGTCAGCGTATGCCACTTAAAAAGCCTCGACTCACATTCAAACGAGCTGCCAATTGAGCAGCGATCACGCTCCCGCGCTCCACGCTGAAGAGAGTCTTGTTCGGAGGCCCATTCTCATAGAGATACAGTTGGAAGCTTCGCATGTTCGGCAAAAGACTGGACTCTGTGCGAGATCAATACATTAAGACAATTGATTGCTACTCGAACCTAGACTCGACGTACCTGCCCAGTATAATGAGGCTGTCAGGTTTGCTAATACGACATATAACATTCTCATAGTTAGACTGGGATCTGTATGAGCGACAGTTGTTCCCATACCCAACCCATTCTCAATCTGGTCTAGAGTTAGTGTGGTCTGCAAAGGCTCCCCAGGAGTCATATTGAATGTCTGGATGAGATACCTGAAATTTTGTCGTTAGGCACACTAGTAGAGGACACATTAAAAACACCAAACTGCTCAACAACATCAGGTGACTTGAGCTCACTGGCGAAGATATTCGTAAATATTTCCTGTACATAGAATATGCCGATACCCTGCCATTCCGGCGCAGTATCGAACATAGCTGCCCACTTGGATAACGAAACGTGGGTGTTAGTCAAAACCAAATCATCGCTGGACAAGTGCGCGCTATACCAAATCCACATGTTGATCTGCGAGGCTAAACATCATTGAATTATTAAACAACCCTGTTACACAATCTCCGTATGTCTTGGTCGGTTCCCACGAATTCCATATTGAAGACAATTTAGTGCCACTGGGTTCCAGGCTGACAAGCTCATTAGTCTGCACATCAACGAGCGCTGTCTGTTGGGACCATGACAGGGTGCATCCTATAAGGCTGACTTCATAAAATGGAGTTCTGTCGGAATACACTAAAATGCACGCAATGGTAGCCGATGTTTGTTCCAAGGTCAGTAAACTCACGAGGATATTCCGAAGGAAATTTGACTGAGCTTTTGAAAGCTCCATTACTGTCTGAGACGTTGGTCGAGACAACAAATAGAATGTCACGCCCTTGCGGACAATTCTACAATAAAAATCAGAGAGCTATGATGATGAAGAAGCTCAAAAAGTGCAAACCATTGAAGCGGCGCTTCCCCTCAATTCCCAGTTCGACGGCAGTTGCATGATGGTATTAATCACTAGAGGCGCTAGGTCAAGCCATGTAAGACTAAAAAATATAAAGAATGCTTAATACACATCTGCGGGAATTCAAATGATATGTTGTACGAGTCATACACGGCTTCCACAGTCCATAAATTCGCTATGACGCCGAGTGTTGTTGTTGCGTTCACAAGTGAATTTTCAACGGCCCGAATAGTTGCATTGGGTAGAAATCCACATGTCACATTAGCCGACATTGCATTTGTTTGAACTTCTCCGATCGCATCGTTCTTCGACAAAACATCATAAAGCGTGTTGTTTAACAGTCCTGGTGTCATCTGGCTATGCGCACTGGCGATATATGGCAGAAGCTCATAAACAAATGGCCAAGCATACATGCTGATGTAGTCAAGTAATGCCCTAATATACAAATGTTAGCTAGATTCAAAGTAGGTCAAGCTTTAAGACGTACGAGTCAGATACGTTTCCCAAAAATGTGGGCATACCCCCAGTTGTGGGCACTATTAGACCGCTAGCATTGAAAAGCTGCATCGAGAACAAGGACGGTGTAATTGTATGCAGAATAGTGGAGCAGGAAAGATATATCATGACTCCCAGTGTTGCTAGTCCTGTGGAGACTGATCGAAGCTGTCTCCAAAGAGTGAGGGATGCCGACCCTAATCCATTCCACGCGCTGCATTCTTCATGAGATGCAGTAAGCGGCTGATAAGTGCAGAGAATTCGCCTAACGGCCAGTCTCTGAGTTAAAAGCAATAATAACGCAGTATAAAGCTGATGGACACATATTTATCTGCATTAGTATCTTCATTCCCAGAGACTCAAAACTCACCAGCATGCATATCTGTATGCTCACAGTAGCATAATCAGATATCTTGTTGCTATCCGACAATGGGACCACAGCCGCATGTTCCGCATGTAGACCCCAAACGACAAGCAAGCCAATGTGGAACAAGCATAACAGGACATGAAGGACAATACATTTGAATCGTGGGGAACCATAGCCCTTCGATTCGAGAGAGCTCAAGCGCATAGCTACGATGGGAAGGAGCTAGATGGGGTGAACACGAAAGCACTCCAGAAGTACTGCATAAATAGTCTCAGCCTAATGCTGCACATGCTGGATCCTTCGATTCAAAGTGCAGTAAGCTGTGAAGCAGTGAGCGCATGATCTGTCGCTACGTAGGCCATCTGTCATGATTATTCCATGAACTATCGTGTTGTTGATTGGATCTTCCCGGCTTCCATCATCTCATAGTGTTCTTACTTGCGATCTACAAATGCAGCACTCCAACATCGAAGACATTAAGTGAATAGTCAAAGTGCACTCACTCAACCAAATCGAAAACGTTCGGGGTAGTTTAAACACAGCTCTGTATCGACTAGCGCTTCGCCCGTACTAAAAATAAGCACTACAATCAACCATGGGCAGAGGGCGATGGAGCTTACTACAGTATCCATCAGCACATCAAGCGAACAAAGCGCATGACATCAATCTAACAAGCGAACAAAGCGCATTAGATAAATTTGTAACCACAGACAGAATTACATGTACCCGTAAAAGTTGTCGTGTTGCAGACACGCAAAAGAGCAGACGGCAGAAAGTACTGGTTGGCGACAGAAATCCATTGCTGAGATCAATAGGGATGTTTTCAATGTATGCTGTAGATAAGCGGGCGGCAACAGATAGCAATATGATAACATGTATACTTACAGTATAGCGCGCCCACTTGCACTATCCACATGGAGAAGGTTCTGCAAACCAGACAACGATCAAAGAGAATAGCTTTACGACGACTTTGCTACACAGTAAGTTCGACAGCAAGATACGCCCGTCAGACGAATATGCTTGATCCTATGGCACATACGTCAGTGTCAAAAATATGAACGCTAACGAGATGGAACTGTTCGCGCCTCCAAATCTCAAACCTAATGTGTCCATCGTAGTGACCCACCGTGCTTGCATCAGTGACGACAACAGTAGAGCCTTCAAGTACTCACCGCTCGCATCCACGCTCTCAGTGCACCTGATAGTTTGGGATAGATTCGGACGCAGACGCGTACCACTGTCGGACAACCCGGACGCATTCCTCCCCCTCGTCCGGCTCTTGGCAGATTCCCCGCGTCGTCCTCTTCTCTGGTAACCTGTCCACTGCGCCTCCCAAGACGTTCTACTGCCGGCTTTTGGCTCCACCGCGTCATCTACAGTGATCGTCGAAGCCTCCTCGCAGAAACAACAACAGCACCCAGCCATTCTTACCATACATCTTAAAGCCTGGCTGGTCTGCCATATATTCCCACTTCGATATCGCTCGTGTCGTCGACAACCTCGCTCTCCCCGAGTGCATCGTCCGCAACGGTGATACTGTCGCACTCGCAACGGTCACTCGCTATTGCGATTTTGGATGCACAAGACCTGCCTCCGCTCTCGCCGCCTTGGTATCGTCTGTGCGCCCTGCTGGCACCCATGCTGGCGGTAGAGGACACTGCACTCGCCATTCTCTGTCACGGCTTCCAGCATGCCTCCCTGGATGTCTGGGTATATACACACCCATTCACCGGTTGCCATTGACCCATGACGTCTTCGAGCCGCTCCGAGTCCCGCTCGGTCAACCCGGGGACGTTCTCCAAGCACACCTACATGCGCGCCACCGTGCATGTGCTCTTCATCTAGCTTGTCTGCCTGCCCTGATCTCTTACGGGCTATCCGCAACCTCAAAGATGTCACGAGCGGCTCATTTGCATTCCAGATCATCATCAAACACATCAAAGTCCTGCCATGGACTGGAACACCATCGCTGGCTCTGGCAGCACCCAGGCGCGACTTCAGTTACGCTCCTAGCAGCCTCATATTGCCCGCCAGCTCGACAACGCCAACCCAGCCGCCCTCCTCACTGGCCCTCGAGACCTGATCTCTATCTGCTGCCTCCAGAAGGCCATCACCCCCAATCGCCTCCTCGATATGTACAACTGTGCCTTCTATCGCACCCCATCTCGCCTCTGCAGTTTGGTGCCGCTGTCCTCATTGACCACGTTGATAACAATGCTCTTATGTCGTCAAGTTTTTCGAGCTTCATTCGCCCAACCTATCTGTAGCCTTTATAATATCGTATGTTGCGCAACAATGCGCGTGAGTACGTGCTTAGAACTCCCCCGCATCTGGGGGATCTTGGGCACGCTACGCTTTCTTACCCCCATCGTGCCTGTCGATCAATCGACCATGGTAATGCAGAACAACTCCTCCGATGGCCTTGCTATGCCGCCATCTCAGCTGCGATCACCGCCCCATGGTCTACTAATTGCACGCCGCCCGCCTTGTTGGTGGGATCTGCACAGGGTGCCGCCTAGCCGGGTGCGTGATCTGGCAGGGCAGCTCCAGCATCCCCATAGCCAGGTCAGAAAACAACAGACGTGGACGCACCAAGACTTCCCCGCATCCGGGGGAGCTTGGGGCTCGCTGCCCAACAGCGGCCGTGAAGCGCACCGCCTGGCACACAGTGGCCCCCGCCCTCCACCATCCACTCGATGCACATTGCACTGCCTCCTAATACGCTTTCCCATCACGGCAAGCACTGATGCGCACGACGACGATGATCCCCGCATCGACTGTCGCGCACGGAGTGACGCCGCATCATACCCAACATCATGCACATGTGCGTAGCATTATATGCGGTGGGAGAGTCTTATGCCCTGCGCACAGGTTGTTGTCATCCAGGCAAATCGTCGTGCCGCGCCACCAAACCGTATGCCTTCTTCACACGGAGCTGACCCGTTGCTTATTCTCTCAATTGCACTGCGATTCCGGGCGCACCCTGTGCCGGGCGCGCGGGCTTCACCAGAACTTGCACGCGATGTATTTCTATATACCCTCGTCCCTTCAGTGCCCTTTAATCACCCCTGCACATCCCCACTGACGGTACTAGACCCCAGCCCTACTGAGTGCTGTCCGGCTGTCCCTCTGTGCGGCCTCCCTCCAAATGGTACATCTCCCTGAGCTCATTATCATGTTCCAGGTGCACCTCTGCCTTGAGTTTCCTCGTTAGCTCATATATAAGAGTCGCTACGACCAAGCACACGACTCTCTTCTCCGCTTGCCATATCGAAGCCGCCTATGACCTCTATCGTATATCCGGTCTTCTCTGTGTTGATAGCGCCCATCTTGATAAATTCACAGACATCTACGTCCTCCTCGAGCCGAGACTGAGATATACAGCGGCCGTAACCGCTTCAAGGAGCCTTTCATCGTCTCCCGCAACCGCCGGGCGATGCTCGCGTCGTTTATTGCCATGTTCATGCAGCAATTCTGCAGCGTAAACGTGATCGCGTACTACTCGTCCAATATCTTTGATGCGGGCTTCAGCAACTACCAGGCGCCGCTCGCCTCCTGGGGCTTCGGTATGCTGAACCGGCTATTCGCCTTCCCCGCGGTGTGGACGATCGACACCTTTGGTCGCCACAGTCTGTTACTAACGACGTTCCCGCTCATGGAAATTTTCCTGCTCATGACTGGCTTCTCGTTCTATATTCCCAAGGGTAAGACACAGGTTGCGGTCGTTGCGGTCGGCATCTACCTATACACCATGGCGTATTCCCCCGGCGAGGGCTCCGTGCCATTCGCGTATTCTGCGGAGGCATACCCGCTGTACGTGCGCGACGTCGGCATGTCATTCTCGACCACCATGCTCTGGTTATTGTAAGTTCTCGTCCGTTCTGTGCGCTGAATTTTGACTGACAGACCCACAGCAACCTCGTCGCGTTCACCTTCCCGCGCCTCCGCGCCTGTTCGGTGCATTCAAAGGGTGCTTTCGGGGGTACGCCGCGTGGAACATATGTATTTCGTGGCGATCCTGCTGTTCGTGCCCGTGACGAAGGCGCTGTCACTCGAGAAGCTCGACCAGGTGTTCTCTGTGCCGACGCGCTAGCACGCACCAGCTCAAGGCGCTACCGCACAACATCAGGAAGTGCATTTTGTGTGTGGATGTCGGGGACCTGCCTCCACTGTACGAGCCTGAGCGCGCCCTGGCATCGCCGACGCACTTGCCGACTGCGAGGCACGCTTAGTAGGGTGCAATTACTTGTATCACAGACTCGCACGATTTGTCGATGTTTGAGATCCGGAAACCTCTGGAAGAACTTCACGTTGTGTCTGCAGATGCTCGCTGACCGGAGGACTCGGGTCGCCTATCCTAGCTTGTGTGACCTTGGGGTCATCCACTTGTATTTGCGTGTATACAATAACGACTGTAGTTGAATGGACTGGACTTCAACCAAATCGGCAGAATTTTAACCGGTGGCTGTGTGTAGCGGAACCGACTCGCCATATCCCAGGGCCCGGAGGCGCACACTGCAAATCTCGGCCATTGACCGGGCGCTCGGTGCGATAAGGTTTCTCGAGGAGCCGAGCTGGTCCCGGCTTTGTGATTTCACTCTCTTCTGCGTCAACTCATTAGTCTCGCTGTCTTGCTCAGCGCGATACGAGACGCTAATGCTACTGCGCCCTCTCAGACTACAACGTATTCGTTCAACCATCTGCACGTGTATGTTTGCTTTTCGCGAATTTGGAATCACAATATTCCACGTCGGTACATAACGCAACAAGAGCGTGCTACATCTGTGAACTCTCAAGGCTCTTTCAGCATCATTATCATGTTTGCTGAGCCGAATCGCGAGCCAATCGTTGGATGCAGGAAGAGAGATCGCGGCGGAACACGGTATGTAAGAGTCTAGGATCCAAAATTCTCCCAGTCGAGGGCATTGAAATGGAGACGAATCGTGAATGAAGGATGTTCTTTTCTTTCATCTGTTGTATGTGACTTGTGTTGTGACATGTTCATTCCTACTTATATCTGAGCGTCCCGGGTCTCAGAATCTAGAAATCACAGTCTCGTGCCAATGGCTCACAATACAGTAAGATCATAGTATGGAAAGTGGCTATCGTCTTCGCCGGCTACACAAATAACTTATATTTGAAAGAATGTTCAAGATGAACTCTAATGACAGCGACCTTCCAACGCTATTATCACATTAGTTCGTATGCAGATCAGTCAAATTTGGTCAGGCATTTTTCCTTTCGACCTAAATCGGCTTTTTGAGGTACTTGGAAGGCCTCACCGGGAACACGTGTGCTATCCAGAAGGTCGGCGAAGTCGATTTGGTGCCGTCTCATGACAGCGTGCACTGACAGAGACACATAGTAATATCTCATGTCTCTTGTAACCAGTAGTCCCAGCGGCATGTGGATAGACATGCGCACGCCAGAATAAGGTTAGTCGGATATGCTCCAGAGCCAACGTGGATGACATAGACCGTGGAAAGATAGGGCTGGTATTTTTCTTGCCGTAAGCACTGCAGCCGCTAGACGGTAACCATCCTTTTCGTATCTGCGAATGGTTTACTGTGAGGATACCATCCGGTGACCCTTATTGACATCCAAAATCCAGAGATACCACCTCAGGCAATTACTGTGTCAGAAACTGCTGTACCTTCGTATGGTGAATCATCTCTCTTGGATCGCAAGGCTCGCATGTCTTCTCAACGATGCGGTATCTTCCCGTCTTAGAGTTATCATAATTATTGTAATTAACTGACGTATATTGCTGCCGTTCCGACCGGCCTTGAATGTTTGAACAGGTAGTTTGCTCGTAAGAGTTGTGTATTCTGCGCCGTTTGCCACTAAAGATAGCATCATATATGCCACATCCCTTCTCAGTCGCGTCTTTCGCCCCATAGTCGCCATTGGTAAAAAGTTTGAGCCAATCGAAATCCACTGCAGGTATGTTTTTCCCCAGGAAAGTGGTCGTGTAAGTCTTCATGCCTTCAATTTATTCAGAATCTACTTCGCTGTCACCATCTCCAACATAAAATTTAGGGGCTTCTTGCCCTTGACAGGGTGGGCATTCTCCTCGATTCACGTCCAACACGAGAGCTTGCTCTGGCATCATTCTATACACCTATGTCACAACGACGGGCAATACGGGAAAAATGGAAAACCTACGTGTCGGTACACTCACTTCCGCAAGCGTGTGGAATAGGTTTGTGGAACTTACTCAATCTAAAATTCGGTTTACTGCAGTCCACCTAGGGAAAATGAGCGGGTGTCTCCGGACAGAAATTTGGACTTGCATGGTGCCTTCGTATAGGATATTGGTGAATGCAGCCGCTGTACTCCACGTATTCAACGAGATAGTAGCACATCTTACGTGAGGCGGCGAGTAGAATGAAGGTGAAGAGATTCGAATACTGTGCGACTGAGTTCTCGACATATAAAAGGCGTCCGAGAACACGTCAGCCGTGGGGTTGTGGCGAAAATCGGCAGAGCGCGGACGTACGAAAGCTACCTGACAAACATAGTCGACAGACCTTCGTATGTGGACCATCGTAGCGCTCTACGCCGTTTCGCATGGTGCACGTTATCTATAACAATGTGGATGCGGTACCATAAAAGCTCATCAGTCAAGGAAAAGAGCGGACCAAAGGACCGAACCTGAATTAAGGATGGCCGATGGTCATAAGCTGTGGATTCAAAATCGTACGTTGTCGAGAATGATGGCAGTTTTGGTTTGGAAAGCTGGTTGTGAAAATAAAATACATTTGTTAACTCACCGGCATGGGGTTGGCTGAGGTACAACGTCAATTTTGAATATGGTGAAGTCAGGATTGTGCTATTATTTCAGCTCCTAACGTGAAACCGAGCCCACTGACTGTTTCGCGTGTTTCCAGCCACCACGATCTGATGCAGTCGGGCTCTGAATATATTTACTTCCCTTGCTATCTATGTGAAGATCTCCTGAATGGAGACGTACAGGTAAGGCAAAGTTTCTGCAGCTTGTCGGTACACTGCTAGCATGGAAGGTCAGCAACGACACATGGATTGTCTCATAGGACGCTCTGCGCCTGGCACAAATTCGTTGCAGATCATGGGGTATTACTAGTCAGCTGGACACACGGTGTCCCCTATCTCAGGAACAGCCAGAACTTTGATACTTTGGACAGGGTTTTGAAGGGGTGCTGCTTCCGTCCGATCTGGTAGGATTAAAATTAGAAAACCGATAGCATGCTGGATTGCAACGAGACGGAAAGGGTTATGCAGCGTGTGCTGTACGTGAGTTAAACCGACTAGAACCTAGTAGATGGACGTCAACTATTCATAATTTCGGTGCAAAACGGCCTGGAGGGCATGTTAGAGGTTGAACTATAGTGTGTGAAGGATAGTCCAACTGAGAAAAAGAGAGTTGCAGAGTTTATGATCGCATAACACCATGATGAGAGATTGAGCGACTCACGCAGTGGCCACTTGTGTCCACGTGGCCGCGCTGCTGGAGAAATTGATACAAATTGTATAAACCAATCATCGCCGGCGACCACTTCAAGCCTGAGTCGGTCATGGACGGACAGAGCGACATCTCATTATCCGCAAGAGCAACTAGTCCGGAAATACTGTGTATCAGTCACACGGCATCATTCCTGGGGTTGAATTCGAGATTCTTTCAATGAAATGGCCACCTGTCGACATGCTCTATTAGGATCAACATATGAAATTTAACACTTCTGCTATGATTGTAGCTCGCAGTTGCCACTTGAACCACGCCATCCTGGCTCATCCTGAGCGAGTCGGATTATTGCAAATGTCAAATACGTTATCCTCACACTCGAGTGGGTAGCGGTATCTGTTGGCAATCATTCTATACTAGTTCCTCCGGCCACTATGCTGGAGTCAATCATGAAGCGCAGAAACACTATGACAGCGTCAAATGGCCCGTTATCAGCATTTGTCGCTTTTTGACAGCTCTCCTTTCCCTGTTCTCCTCCATCATGCATTTCACATCCCACTTGTACCACTTTTTATGTCGTCATGCGAGTTAGATGCACTGCTTTTGTGTAAGGGTAATGTACTGACAATGAACAGGTTACTGCGCCCAATGGAAACCAAGTTATCCGGCGTGTTCACGATCACGAACGCTCGCTATCGCAATAGAATAAAGATGCGCAACAACAACGACGCCGAACCATTGATATGCGTCGTTCCGAACTTATCAGAACTTTCTCAAACAGAGCTGGTGCGGTACTCGTCAGTTAGTTCATGATGTGTCCATACTGAACTACTATGTAGTGGAGACTCGTGCCTAGCACTGACAATCGCCATCAAATCAAAAACATGGAGTTCAATTACATCGCATCTATTCCACCTTCATCTAAGATTGAAACACATGTGCACGGGTCCGATAGGGAATACTGGTGGTTCACCGAGAAAGCGGAAGAGGAGAAATCTGGACCAGATGCTTACTTGTACGTTGCAAGTATTATCCCAGCCACTAGTAAACATTGACACCTCATGTCTCAATCAGCATCCGACGTGGAGAGCTTTGTTGGCATCTCGTCGATAAATCAGATGAGACTCCAGTGAGATATACGCCCCCATCGTATCTGCGCAGCGCAGTTGACAATCTTGAAACTAGATTGAGCTTCAATGCTGGTCTGTGGATCGTCGAAGCATTTGGCAGGCACGACCCTCCATGTGTTCCGCGCTCACATGGTTCACGCTTTCTGACAGATCATGCGGCACATTGATCCTGATGCGAGTGATGGAAACCATTCATTTGAGTCGACTGTAAGTCCTCCAACGTTTCCAGCATCATCACTCCAGCCATTGGTGGACTTCAACTGCGCGAATGACGCATATATAGAGGTACGATCACCTATATACTAATCATACGTTACTGCTGAGTCTCGTTTTGATAAAGGGTCAAGTACATGCGTCCATGAGGCCAGCCTTCGAGATCTTCAAGTGTGCATCCAAGGTAAGCCATTCATTTCCTTTCTACATTCGAATCAATATGCATAACGAAAAAGATGACTCTTGGTCACATTCATCGGCATCATGAGCTGTTTGATACAGTCAAATTCATAGTAAATATTTACAGTGAATTGGCAGCCGATAAAGAAGTTGTCTGTAGTCCCTCTGCCGACACGAAAGTGGTCATAGATATGCTGGCGCGACAATTGCTAGAATGTGTCGATTTCATCACATATTATTCCGAGTTAAAGACGTTTTGTGAGTTTATCTGATAATCAATTTCATCACTTAATTTGAATAATCAAATTTTGTTGCACAGGGACTAGAATGGGCAAGGACATTGAATGTGAAACTCACATGGCCACTCAGTGCTTCCAAGATGCTCTCCGCGGTCTGATACAGCAAATCCGGGCTCATTCCTTTATTACCATGCCGTCTCCTATTTACAGGACAGGTATATGAGATCTATTGCTCCCTTGAGCCATGTTTGACAGCTTTTATTTCATAGTCTTGGATATTGACCTGTACGGCCTAGAATATGCAACTGGGGTCGGGGTGAACATATTAAAGCAATGTCACCCAGGTAGTCGACGGGAAGTCCTCTCCATGATGCAAGACTGGGTTATGGCCACGCAGGAGGAAGCGAAGAAAGTCTTCTGGTTGTCCGGGATGGCTGGGACGGGCAAGTCAGCGATCGCACACACGATAGCCTGCTGGTCGGACGAACGCGGCAGTCTCGGATCTTGTTTCTGCTTTGCTTTCACGCGATACGGGGACCACCACAGCAAAATATTCCACACCATCGCAACAGATCTGGCTATTCATAACCCGCTCGTCCGCCGGACATTGGCGCGTACGCTTCATGAAGATGTTGAGCTGAGATAATACAAACTTCAGACAACAGTGGACGAAATTGATCATGGAACCGATCAAAGAAGCGTGCAAAACAACCTACGCACCCGTATTGGTCGTTCTTGACGCGCTTGATGAAAGTGGCGCAGAGGATACCCGTGAACTGTTACTTCAGTTATTATCCTCTGCCGCTGAGCTGCCGCCCAATATTCGTATACTCATCACATCCCGCCCACTTCCTGACATTCGCGATGGACTTCGCCGACAAAGCGTTCAACACTTCTCCTTGGATAGTGTTCCACCAGAACTAACCAGACATGATATGGAGCAGTGTATCGCCGCGAAGCTGGGAGATCTGCGCATCTTTCAGGCGGAAGACTACGTGGCGTTAGCGCGAAAGTCAAACGGTGTTTTCGAATGGGCTCGCCTCTCCTGTGAATACATTACCGGTAGAGCATTAATAGGGTCTAATCCCAGAATTCGCTACAATGCGGTGACCGCAGGAATATCTGGAACACAAAACCTGTTGGATGATATGTACAAGCTCATTTTGACGAAGGCTATGCAGGAAGACGAGCGTATGAATGTCCTTGCGTTTCGTGCCGTGATGGGACAAGACAAGTTCTGGCATTACTGGAACCAATCTCAACGACATCTTTGGCTGCTATGCAGCGGCGCATTTCATTAACGGATAGCGTGGATGTGGAGTTGGTCATAGACTCCCTGGGCGCGGTTCTCACCGGCATCACAGATAACAAAACTCCCATTCGACCATTACATGCATCATTCTACGATTTTCTGATAGACGAGGGCTGGAGTGGCGAATTTTTTCGCTTCTCAGAGGTCACATGCACTGGATTTAATCTGTCGCAATCTCGCACGACGGTAGGCGCATTGTGTCCAGTTCGGCTGACAAAACCATCCGAGTGTGGGATGTGGACACAAGGCAGCAGCTGGTCCACCTCTTCAAGGGCACATTCACTGGGTCAGATCCGTTGCAATCTCGCACGACGGGCAGATAATCGTGTCCGGTTCAGCTGACAAGACCATTCGAGTGTGGGACGCTAACACGGGTCGGCAGCTGGGCTTGCCTCTCAGAGGCCACACACAGTCCGTCAGATCTGCCGCAATCTCGCATGACGGGCAGCAAATCGTGTCCAGTTCGGGTGATAACACCGTCAGAATATGGGACGTAGGTTCGGGGCGGCAAGTGGGCTCGCCTCTTGAAGGCCACACGGCATGGGTTACGTCTGTTGCAATCTCGCCCGACGAGCAGCGAATCGTGTCCGGGTCAGATGACATGACGATTAGAGTCTGGGATCATAGCCTGTCTGTGCCTCCCGCTTTACCAATTCCAACTCCATTTAGGGAGGTTCTCCGCCGTCTTCCCTCATACCTGATGAGGAGGGCTGGGTTGTTGGTCCTAAGGGTCAGCTTCTGCTCTGGGTCCCAATCCAGCTCGTAGACCGGTCACGGATACCTGCACCGGGAAACATTTCAGTGTTCCTCAATAATATGCTGCAGCTGGATCTGAGTCAATTCACACATGGGGAGGCTTGGAACGAATGTTATGATCCAGATGGTGTATAATTGTACGCATTCGTTGCCCTTCGCCATGTATTTATGTATTTATGTAATCGCCACCGCATGTATTTTGTATGCTCTGTTATCTGAATTCGAAGTCAAGGCATTGGTCTGTGTTGCTGAATCTCTATTCCGTATTAGGCTGGGACAAGGAGATTGAGATACCACTGCTCTTTTGACGTCCAATATATCGCGTCAATTTCTTTCTGAGCCAAAAGCTGTCAACAAAGTTAATAGAGTATTGTTTTTGAAGCAAGCTCACTGTGCACGCGGCTCGACAGCGAAATGTGCGACATTGCCATAAGCCCCAGGAGGAGCGATTTTAGACCGTACCGTGCTGATGGTACGATGAGTTGATCATTCTTTCTTGGTCATGAATGGGGTAAACAAGTGTCTCATCGCGAGAGTTCTGCATTCGCGTCCAAACATGTAAGACAAAGTAACTCAACCCTTATTTACATATGGCTCCCTCCCTCACACGTTATACACATTTCAACAGGAACACAAAATTAAGAGGTTAACGTTAACTCAATTAGTCGATCGAGGAGAAACACAACCCCACCTTCGTCTTGCTTGAATTTGTAGCAGCCTCCGCCAGTCCCGAAAGTCCACTAGCCAGGTAGAGGCTCGGTTTTCAACAAGTAGAATCGAGAGCAATGTCCGATGGTGACGACGGCATAAAGTGGGATCCTGATTTCCTTTGCTTGCTCCCGGAAGCCACAGATACACCTTGTCTACGAAACTACTCAAGAGTGGGGGGACACAACTGACTGAAGAGCTTGTCAAGATAATTGTTCGAAGGAGCCAATCACCGGAGTTGAATTTGTGAAGCAAGCACCTGAGGGTTCATGAATGGCTACTACCAGCGCGTCTCCTCTGCCAGTTCCGTATTCAGCCTTGACGTCAGGAAGCTTTGTCAAAAACCCATTGAGTGCGTATACTTGGCACACCAGGCCGCCTCTGCCTGGTCGGCGTGTGCGGTGGGTGTCCGGTTCGTTGCCGACAGAGGCACGTCGTTCCGTATTTCGTCCAATATAATTTGTATGCAACGTTGAACACGGTTGTGCGCTGAAAGTAATGATCGCACAGCACCCTCTTGCACTTGGCCCTGATATGCTGACACGCTGCGTCTGACGAGGCATGGACCTGTCGACACGGCTGCTATTGCATACTACCCGGGGTGATCGTCGTAAGTGCCTATTCCAGACGCGCGAAAATGGCCTGCGTGCCTGAAATGACACTAAAACCGGACTCATTGAGTAACACTGGACCTATAAGTTAATGGACGTGTGCCCACCTGGTTTATTGGAAGCATTGCATCCGTCACGTCGGTCGAGTCACCACGCTTACTGTATGCATATGTGGCCAGCGGCGGTGTTTCGGAGAAAGAAAAACCCGCAGCTCTCACGCCGAACTTATGGAGTCTCATCGGGAAGAGTGCTGGCAGACTACAAGCTCATTGCTAGAGCGGGTCTCCCCCGTCGCACGACGACAGTTATACTAACCAGTGATCTCGCGAACAGTGATGTCGACGACGTACCCGGACTTCTTCAGGCTCATATCCCGCACGTGCTCCTGTCAACCCGTCTGTACCTATTTGCGTGCCGAGAGAAGGCATACCTGTGCAATTTGAGCCTCACCGCGCGTTCAGCTCCAGGTCAACGACTAGACGTCGACGCGCTCCAGCGACGACCAGATGCCCAATAGGACCATAGGAAGCCCTAATTATGAGTCAATCACGTTTCAAAGCAAATGCCGACGTGTGCAATGCATAGACTACGAAAGACCACGATGATCCTCAAGTTGCTCGCGCATACATAGCCTATCTCCGTGTGGGAGTGAGCAATACCCACCATCACTTTTTCATAGCAAACTCAAACACTCACCAGCACTGACATTCGGACTCACCGCCTCCGTCAACGTGGTCGCTGTAGAGGGGAATATCATCTTCGTTGGTGTGGACTGGCTGTCTTCCGTAGCCTCATCCGAGATCCGGAATCCAGGAACGACGCGCCAGCTTGCGTGAGAGCTCTTTGGAGAGAACCGAACGGACTCGATCTGGCCCGGATCGTTTGCCAGTCCGACCTGGCCTTGCAGCATTCTCAGTCGGCTGCACTTGAGCCTGCATCCTGCGTTGTCCCGACTCCCTTGTCGTTATGCAGAGCAGCTTTAGACATTCTCAGCTACTACTTCGGCGACGCGTTCCTCCAGAGTAGCATCTCCACGCACGCTTGTTATTTAGAAGTAAGGCCTAACATGGTACGTACCTTTTTCGCCAGGCCTCTGATGTGCAGGACGCTTGAGCAGGTCTGACAGGCTCAGTCACGTCATGCCAGGGCCAAACACTAAAGTTAAAACTACGCATACATGTGTGCTGCCAGCGGTCCACTGTCCAACGGTGTCGGCTCGCACGACTGTCTTGCCTCCTCGTCTCAGCTCGTCCGGACGCTGAAGCACTGGTACGCACTTACGCCTTGGCTTACACTCCGATAACACTCTAACGTCCGAGTACTTCGGAATCGTGTAGTCTACCAGGCCCGTACATCCTCGAAATGCGCGGCGCTTTATTCAATGACATTGATGGCATATATCTTCAGCCGAACTCCATCTAGTATAGCTCATCATCGCGCTCCATGCTGCGCCCATTCTTGTGATGTTGAGGACACTAGTTAGAATCCAGCGCGCATGTTAGACACCCCGGGCGCCACAATCTCAAATCTCCATTCCGGCGCAATTCCTAGTTCCTGGCTGTAGAACAACCCGAACCCCCCGGTGCCGGTCTACACGAACATTGCTACACAGGAGCCAATAGCTCATCGCTCTAGTGTACGTCACTCACGTTGATTTGATTCACAATGGAATGATGAAGTATTGTCTGCATAATATATAAGGGATGTCTGAGCTTCAGGAATCTTACCAACAGGACACATCAAGTACCATTACATTACTCAATCCCAGCTCACTCCTGAACCTCCGTCTTAATCACGATGCGCTTCACAACGAAATTCCTTCTGGCCGCCGTGACAACGCTCGCGTTTACCATGGCAGTAGTGGCACTTCCCTCGCCAACACCGGCACCGGTGAAGGCAACCATTTGTCCCGAGACCGTAGTTTGTTCTATCGGGCCCGATGGTCCTTATGACTGCAGGACTTTGCCTTGCAGTTCATGATAACCTCACAGTGAGTTAGCCAATAGTGACTATAGTTCAAAGCGACTGACCGTATTTTCAGCTTGCATCCTCGTTATAGACTGAAATGCGCGGATTGAGAGAGACAGATGTGGGGATAATGGATCGCTGGAAGGAGAGGTTATGAGTGACCGAAGGTTGCTCCACGAGATGTTTACCTACAGCAATATTGTCTATGTGTCGCACAAGGATGGTTTCCGCTCATCTCATCTTTAAGAGCTTGTGTCTTCTCGGATGAAATATCCACACGTAGTGCATGTGGTATTTGTATGAGATAGGGCGAAGAAACAAATTAGACACTCGCTAGTATCAAAGTGTCGGCATGTGCGACATCAATTTGCGTCATAATATCAAGGAGAGGTCTTACTGCATGTGAGATTATTGTCTGTTATAATCAAGATAGCATTGCACTCGCCGTAGGGAGCGTTGTTGGGCTAACCTCTTCATCAAAAGTGTGTCGGCCGAATAGTTACAGCTGATAGGTACAGCTGAGATGGCTCAATCATCGCACCACTAATGCGGTCGCTACTTAGTGTGAAGCTAATCAGTTTGAGTGCATCAAGAAAGTGTCAGCGTCAAGAATGTATCATAGCGCCGACTGGCAGCAACTATAGCAGTGGAAAAAACGAATCAGGCGCAGCCATTCAGCGGGATGATGGTCCCAGGGTTGACTGCTAGCTAGTAGCGGAATGCTTCATCTGAGTTGAGATTTCATACTAGATCCCTCCTCTTCAAGATCTAGGGCACCGTGACGCCGTGCCACTCACTTTGACGTCGATGCTGTCAACCTCATTCGGACGCCTCCCCATGATGAGCTTGTAGATTGCGCAAAAATCGTGCGCGCTGCTTTGATAGCGTATTTTGTCACATTAGAGTGTGGGTTTACATCTGAAGCAATAAAAGCTCAACATATGACAACGCATACGGGGTATTGTAAAGCAATATATACGAAGAAGTCAGAGGCGAGCAACATCCTGGGGCCAACAGAGCGCTATACGCTGGGATCTCAGCAAGCATAGCGCAACGTCGTAACATTGGAAGATATTTTGTGGTCGATTCTGTAAGGGGTTGAAAATCTATATTTCCGCGTCCGTGTATCTTCCCGTTTAGTACCAGGCTAAAGCGACGAAGATCACAAAACACATCCTTTTCCAGAACTGCATCGACAGTTTGCAGTAGGGCAAGGTTTCCCTCAGCCCACGTTTTCCTGTCGTGATTTTCAAAACATTGATGGTATCCATCGACGGGGTACAGAGAAGCCATTCCAGGACCGACGTAGCACCAGGGCTGACTGAATTTGAGAACGAGTTTAGTCAGGTGGAGGTTTCAACCTAGCTCGAAGTTGGGGAGTCCATGACTCTCATGCCACCTGACACCCCGTAGCTTCAACGTTGAGAGCCGAGGAAGTGTATTGACCGCTTGCTGAACTGTTTTGAACAAGTAAAAGGTACAAGACCATATGTCGAGCATTGATATTGTGGAGAACAAGCCAATGGATGACGCGAGACAAGCCAATGACGAGGACGATGTGTTCCCCCCGGCGACCTCAAGGACTTCGACATTTGGAACAATGGCAGACAAATCCTTGAGTACGCAATTGCACATTTGGACAGGTTGCACGCATACTTCAAGAAAAGCGCAGTATGCAGCTGGTTGGACAGATGTATGAGATGAATTTTGGTCGCAGTGGCTGATATTTTTGTTCGACGAAAAAGATACACCCGGAACCGGTGAGCAAATGTCCAATAGACAATTGCGCAGATAGATGGTGCCTTATGGTCAGATTGCGAATGTAGTTCAGACAGCGCCGATTTGAAGATCTTCAGTGGAAACACCGGCACCACATTCTCTGCGGGGGTTCACTTGTACGGCACCTCGACAGATAATGGAAGTGATGGCTCGATATACCCAGGGTAAGAACGTATCAAAGATATATCGGTGAGTCTCGCCTTTGATACGACCTGCTGCATGATTGACTTAGGCAGCGCACACTAAGCGACTCGCGACATGTTGAACATTAGACAAGATCACCGCCATGAAGTAAATTGGAGTGTATCTTTGAGCTTTAGCAGAACTGATCAAAGTAGGCGGGACCTTGTATAAATTGTGGAGAACGAGATGCCCGAATCGCGCTCGGAAATGAGGAGAGGAGTAACTCGAGTATTGCATTACCACGCTTGCGCACATGTTTGGCTTCTTAATCTTCCATTTGAAGTGATGAGGACGCCGGGGAATATGTCATATAAACGAGAATGAGCTTCACCTTGAGTGTGATATTGAAGACAGAGGTGATCGCCCTTCGTTTGTCTCAAACAAATTAGTCGAGTGGAAAACATCGGTGAGCTCTTTTCCGACCAGACAGGACATAGTGCAGGGAATGCAAAGCGATACACTGGCGATAGTCCCTGTTCAATGAGATGGGGCACCCACGACGTCAAGATCCATGACAGAATACTGCCGGTTGACAAGGAAATCGTGGCCACTTCCAATACACGACACCTTCACGTTGAGCATAAGTGACAAATGAATCCAGAGGCATCTCATGGAAGGACGACGAGGCACTCTTCCTCAGACCAATCTCCTTTTAGTGTCTGAGCATCACTTAGGGAAGGAGAGCCAAGATGGAAAATGCGGACATACGGCTACTGGTGTCCACACCTCATCTCCCACTCCATACTCTCCCTTTGGACTGCTCTCAGAATTCAAAATTATGAATTGTATCTCGAGATTCCTAACCTATGTGGTCGTCAATTCGCGTATGAGATTCAATCGAGGTGGCACAAACTCCAGGGACCAGAGATATTAAAACGATAACAGGCTACCGAAGAGTCACACGATACTCAGAGCTGATCATGTGAAGTTTGCAGCCCTTGCAAGTTGCAAGGCGGCACTCAAATCGCCGCGGCTCGGCGCCCGATCGCAAACTAGATATGTGTACGACAGACATGCGTTCAATTCCCGAGTATGATATATGAGGATCAAGCATTTATCCCTTTGCCTACTCACAAATGTAAGTCAGAGTCGTGGCTCACGGATGTACAGTGAGAGCCTTCGTGCTGAGCGAGGTCTGCACTCGCTGAGGAAGAGTGGCCGCGCCGTGAGGCGATCTACGGACCACGGCTGGTGTCTGTCACACAGAGAGCCCCCTAATTGTGGATAAATAATCTTCCTTGCGTCGTTGCTTTTTGCGACAAACATCGGCAACATGCATCTGCGTCACTAAGTTGTTGGGTGAATCTATACCTCCGATGCATGTTCGAGGCATTTGCTTCTTTCTGGTCGAGATATAATTGGGCTCACACAAGCCGCTATTTTTGGCAGTAGTAGAATGCGAGTAAGCAAGGTTGCGACTCTGGAGTGCATACTTTCTGACGGTATGAACGGCTCGACTTCAATTCACAGAGGCCCATGCCGTGTGGATTACAAAAATCTTATACGGCATAGCCTTTTTAAGTAATTCCAGGCCCGATCACAATATAGATTACCCATAGAAGGCTATGCATGTTCAAGTTATTCTGTTGTCGATCACGACTTATCGGTTGAATGCTGATTACTGGACTATCTACATGCGTTCCCTAGTCAGTCGACTTGTGTTATCTTATGCTGATCTCAACAAGACGCTGCAAGTACCCTCCCGTGCCGTCGGAGTGGATTTCACACAAGATACCGGGTAGCTATTTTCCGTTACGTTCGTCATTCGGCTTGCCGCATCACGTCTGACCCGTACCCATATCGCAAATTCAATTTCTCGTGCCACGAGCGGGTCTCTCGGCGAGAAGGCAGACGAAGCGCTCGTGGGAACGACATGGGTAGCATGACCACCATGCATGCACGTTCATAAGATGAAAGTATCCTTCTCTCGCTGCTCCCAGTGCTGCAGCGCGGCTGATGAGCTGAGTTCCGATTTCTGTGAGTGTCAACGTGCGGGTACATTGTATCCGTTAAGCTAAGACTGACCAACGTGCATACTTGGCTGATCGAAACAATTTTATCAGATAAGTCTGAGGCCTCTCCTAATAAATCAGACGAATGGTCCAATTCGCCCTATTGTGAGAACAGTTGAGTTCCCGCATGATACCCGTTTTGACCTTTCTTCTTCCTCTCACAAGCATGGTCTTCTATTTCTGTGCGGCATATGGTGTTCATATAGGCTTCTAGGCACCTTGCGGTTCATGCCTATGTAGCATGTGCATCTGGAACTCGTTTAGAGAATATCTGCGCTGCTGCTCGAGAGTATATATACCCATGTTCTCGTGCATTCTTTTCCAGCGAAAGTGCCTCCCAACAAAAGTGCCTCTGCTAATCGCACACTAATCTCAGTGAACATGGTTGCACTTCAGGCGATCGCTGCAGCTCTTCTTATCTCATCATCGCTGGCGACCTACATTGGGACTGCTTCTCAGAGGCGCGGCACGGTCGCGTACTATGACCCCACCAACGGCGGCGGTTCCATGTTTGACAATGCAAACGATGGTTATGGCGAGCCTCTTAATGTGATATCTCTTGACCACTCTTGAGACCGATGAGACTAAGGGATTTACCAGGTGATTATCTCTGGCTTGAGTTCACCAGAAGTGCTCAATGAGGATGGCATCATCAATTTCGCTCGTGCAATCGGATTGTGAGTAGTGTTCAGCGGAATTAGAGGCCTTCCACACTAAATGCGCCCTGATTACAATTCTTAGCTCCATCGAATGCCTTGGAATACATCTCGGAGCTCCAATGAGTGCCAACCTAGGAGATGGTAACGGTTGGGTAAATCAGACGATTGAGTTGCGCGAAGATTACGGTAGCGCAGCCGCAGGGACCTGTCTTGAGACTCTCATCGGCGGAAACCACTTCAGGTGAGATTCAGCTAGGGCTGGATGATTTTCCATCATTGTCGGCATTGAGTATTGAATCACCGTACAGAGTCTTCGTACAAAATGGCACAGAAGCTGACAGCGGCGCATTATTCTTGGCGTGAGTTAATCGGTCCATTGTGTTCTCTATGTTTCACGATGCTCATAGTCTGCCTGCAGCGTATCGAGAGAGGAAGATGTAATAGAGGATCATACAATTGTTCCAAATGGCTATGATATTGGCCGGTAAATTCCTATCAGCGCTTGCACTGTAATTGGCTCTGACGACTTACTATTAAGCGACGACTTCTCCGCTGCAGCTATGGGTACTACCAGCTACAATGGTGTAACTTACAATACAGTTGCCGAAAACATTACTGGTTTGATGCCAGCCGGTAGTACGGGTGTAAATCATGGTATTGTTTCGACGCGTTTTCTGAATGCTCAAATGATATCCACTCACTCTTCGTGTAGGTATCGCCGTCGATGGAATTGTCACTCTGCTGACCGTGACGATCGAGTGAGAGACATCATTTGAGGCACAGGAGGGGTGAAGATCTATACTTGTGATATACATGGTGGATCACAATATATGATTTTCATTGAAATGCTCAGCATGAAGGGTGTATATTGTATGACCGAGGCCTAAACGGTGCCTCGGCTCTATGATGGTCCTCCACAAGCGCGGAGTGAACATTCGTGTGTTTTCTAGAGGCCACTCTTCGGTGAAGAGATAGGATACGGCAAAAGCCTGAGTTGGCACTTACGTTAGAGACATGACAGCGATCAGAGCCAGCATGCAATATCGTGATACCGAAAGCGCGAATACTTTCGCCCAAATGTATATCGGCGCGCTAGCCGGTTCTCGGAGGGAGTGGAAGTCGCTAGAGCGAAGGAACCAGTTTACCGTCAATACGGTGGTTAGGCATCGGTTTGGCCGCTTACAGCACTCCTGGCCGATCGGAGATCGCGGTGCGGCCATCCCAGTGGGTCATGTGATGTTATCGATTTTGAACGTCGGCCGAACCGAGTCAACCATGGCTCATTAAAAGCTACTCTTAGGCTACAGACATGGCTCAGTTTCGGGCACGGCTACGCTCACGCCAGTGTCGAATGATAGACTCTCTACTAATGGCGACCGCGCCGCAATAAACGCTGCTATCACGACTGATTTTCCTGAACACTGTCCACAAGAATACTGGCAGCTCATTCCCACATCGGCAGCAATTAGTAATGTTGTCGTACAAGCTATGATATCGTTAGGTGCGAACGCTGACCCGAAATACGAGAGGTGTTGCGAATGTCACTCGTTGTGCAAAATCCCCCTTTTCGGAAACATTTTGGCGAAAGCAGTAGAATCCCAAGATTTCTCTGAAGTGCTTCGCCTAAGTATGTATCATTATTTCCATGTGTCTCGCTCTTGATAAATTGACGGTTCATATAGATATTTCAACCCAAGAAAGCCAATATGAGGCTAAGTGAAAGCTTCTGAAAGTGGGTACCAGCTCTAGTTGTATATTTTTGCTACTGACTGACGATTGATATCGTTTAGAACTAGGTGTGCGGTCACTCCAACGCCCTACAAAGTGTGCACCAACACATGGCTAGCTACCGAGCATGCTTGGGAATTGCCCTTTGAAGGTCATCACCATGAAATGTTGTTTCGTATCATCAGCAATATGAGCGGACACGTACGATCGAACCGATCGTACGCCAATTATCTACCTCTAGTCCAAAGTTCTGGGACTGGAAAATCTCGGACGGTCGATGAATTTGCTAAGTTGATCTTCACGATCCCATTCAATGTCCATGATGCGGCTGCGAACATAGGTGATTAATTGCGCTTTCTTACCATCACTATGACTTTAATGTCCTGTAGGGTATGCATATCCTCCCCCGGACATATCCATTGTAGCCTTTCTTATAAATACACATTTCACGACATGTGAACATGCGCGCGACAATGACTGCGTATTCTTCGAGATACTTTTCTCGGAGATTTTTCCAGACGAGATGTTTGATACAGCTAAGGACCTTGCATTCGCCTGGCGAAGGGAGCTCGCTCGCAACACACAAGGTCAATGCACGCGCGAGAAGTTGTATGCAGATGTTGTACGAGTTGCTACCATGGTGCGTGTCGTTTTGGTGTGTGACGTGCTTGACGCTCAGGTTCACTACGTGTATTGCAGCAACTAGGCACCGCACGGGGCCTAGACACCGAGAAGACAACGCAGCTCGAGAAATGCGCTTCTAAAGCTGTGAGAGGAACTAGTATCCTGGATCAAGACCCATGTGGTAGGAAATCAGTCGCAGTCGCCAACGATGATTCTATACTTTGATGAAACCCACACTCTGACAAACGCCACATTGGTACAGCACAGGGGGGAATGTCAAAGTCGCGATTTGACGCACTTACGTCTGAATCGAACTGCTTTCTTAGTGTTCGACTATTCGCCATTGCCTTGTCGACTAATTCGCGCATGCATGAATTCTCCCCAACACAAGAGAAACATTTATCAGACCGTGTGCGCAGAGTTGCACGGGATTACCTCCAGGCGCCGTATACCGAGCTCCCTTTCGATTGTTTGCAAGACGACAAACCGTTCATCAAAGATAGACAATTCAAACTTAGTGAAGCCTTTGATCTCTCAGTTGTCTGTCGATTTGGACGTCCCCTGTAAGTGGTTCATTTAAACCATGTTACGGGTATCTAACGTTGACTCCGATTTCAGGTGGTTTGCGCTTTACAAACGTGGTAACCTGGACGTCCGCAACTCGCCAATCAGCTTTGCTCTATCGAAGTTGACCGGATTCAATAATTACTACGCCGATGCAGGGTATGAAACCCAGAAAATGCTGACACGGTTGTCAGTCTTAAGCTCCCACTTGTTATTGGACATGGAACACCGTCAGGAATATGTCAGACATCTAGAAACTGAAATGGTGGACGGGCACATGCGCATTGCCTTCAGCGTTCCCAAGCATCGGCAGTATATGTATTCTGGGTATCCTTCTGAGCCTACTTTTGCGGAGGCTGCTGCGCAGGTGATGGAGATATGACAGGAGAAGGAGAAGGAGGGGGAAGTAGAAGGGAAAGAGAAGAGGAAGGAGAGCTGGAGAGTTTCAGACATTCTCAGTCAGCATGTGCGCGATGGCCTTATTTCAAAGGGAGAAAGAGGGGAGCTTGTAGCTCGATTGATACTAATCCAAACCTTCGACGCCGCTTTCAAGAAGGCGCGGGTGGACAAATGCAACGGCGACGGCGAGAGGATTAACTGGCCGGTTCGCTTGCTTGACTTCTTGGAGGCTCTTTTCGGCAAGACGCACATGGAAGCGATCAAAAGCAGTCGTCCAGACAATCAGCCTCAAGGGACAACGCTCGCAGATGTGTTCGAAGACGCGTACGTGCGATTCAAACATTTCGCCAGGAGCGATGACGAGACGATCACCAATACGTATGGACTGTGGGCAGCAATGATGCGCGGGATGGCAATGCAATGCAGCTCGAACAGTCCCATCATCGACATCATCATTCCAACAATCCTTCGAAATGAGAATCTAGCAGAGAACGCCATGACAGCGATGCTTATACAAGTCAGAAATATGGATACACGATATGGTTGGGTCATTGATCAGGCAGTGCTTAACCAAAAATATGGCATTTTTTTCGCCCAGCTCGGACGACAAACGCCCTTATATCACTCTGGTAATGCAATTGGGAGTAGGAACGGCGAGCTCAAAGGGCAGTACCATGATACCACCGTAGCTAACCCCAACTCATCCCCGTTTAAAATGCAGGGCACCCCCACAACTTACAGAGTAACTTGACGGAAGACGACGACTCGGACAAGATCGATCACCCGCGCTACGCCATCAACGTCACGAGCTGTTCGTCCAGTATACACGCCGTTGTCGACAGCAAAGCAAATTATGCCTATCTCCCTGGTGGCAGGACCGACCTGTACGAGGAGCACTCCCGACAAGACCCCACGAATCTGAGCCTCGTTCAGCGTCTGAAATCAACCTGGACTCTCGACAACAATTGCTACGACCGGATAGACAATGCGCTTCTCCGAAACAATGTTCGTGGTGGGTTAGTGAAGTTCCCCCGTTAGATGACGGCGCCTTGCTGGTCGGTCGCGACGCCGTCACACTATAACAAGATTGATCCATGCGAATCAAGAAAGTTCGTACAGATACTTTTGAGCCTCTCATCTGGTACCAAGAGATAGTTTCATCAGGTTTGTATCGGTCGCTGTGTCTGTATACGCTCACTGACCGGAGGGCTCGGGTCGCCTATCTTAGCTTGTGTGGTTGCCCTGGAGGTCTACCGTGATGATCTGCTTGCATTTGTGGGTATAACTAGTTGAATGGACTGGAATTGAACCGAACCGACAGCGTTCGACCGGTGGCGTTGACATTAAAGACACTTATAATGGGGTACATTCTGCGAAACTGGTGTTCTTAGAAGAAAGACTTATTAATTTGATACACCTGTGCTTGGTAGACTTCAGACCATCGACTGCGGCCATGGGCTCATCGGGAGACCACAATTGCTGCTTACTATATGTGCTCTATAATCCACGACCAAGATAGACATGCTACACACTCTCCCGCCTTAGAGCTCCTCGCCAGTGATGTCCTTCCCAGCACCTTCATGCTTTTGTAGCTCAGTTCTCCACGGAGCCCATGTCTTCCCGTACTTCTTGAGCAGCCGTGCAAGCTCCGCCCTATTCTCCTTCTGAAAGCCATGGCATGTCATTAGAAGGAGTAGCTGTAGGACAAAGGGACACACTGACGATTGTCCACGGTTCTTCGCCAGCATAGACGTCTTTGAACATATTGCCTAGCTCACCCTTAGGCAGCTTCTCCGCGCGAAAAAATGCACCCATGATCTCTTCCTTCAACTTAGCCTTCAGTGCCGCTTCCTCCTCTTCTGACCACCATCCACGGTCTTCAAGGTATCGCCGGAAGCGCGCGATCGGGTTGTCCATCCGCTTCCGATCCTCGACTTCCTGACGGGGACGGTACGCGAAGGAATCGTCGGACGTTGAATGGTGGCCGACGCTGAAATTCGGTAATTAATCAGTTCCTATTAATTTTGCGCTTGTGATCTTTGCGACGGGACACATACCGGTAGGTCATTGCCTCGACAAGGACGGCGCGCCCCTCTTCGATGCAGAGCCTCCGCGCTTCTTTGATGGCGGCGTACATCGCGAGAACATCATTCCCATCGACACGCACAGTGTGTATTCCGTAGCCTGGGCCACGGGATGCGATGCCATCACCGTGGTACTGCTCCGCTGTTGGAGTCGAAATGGCAAACCCGTTGTTGCGTGCGATGAAAAGTGTGGGAGAAGGAATTGTGGAGGCTAAGAGAGTGTTAACGGCGCCATGTTGCGAGCCTGTTCAATACTCACCGAAGAGCAGACCTGCATGAAAGTCTCCTTCAGATGCAGCTCCTTCTCCGAACCATACAACGGCACAATTCTTGCCTCGGCGAGCGGGATCGCGCTTCAGAGCGAAGCCAACTCCTGCGCCCTGTGGGATCTGAGTAGCCAAGGGCGATGATATTTGATGAAAGTGATGCTTTGGTGAGCCCAGATGCTACAGAGCAGGATCAGATGCGACTGATCGGAGGATAGCACAAACTGCGAGAGACCAACCATGGGCATTTGTTTACCTGCTGAGCATGGGTCAGCAATTGTGCCAAGGCAGTTGTTCACTAAGTCATCGCAGGTGAACCCGCGCCAATAGAGCACACCAGACTCCCGGTATTGTCCTATGCGCCGTCAACACACTAACTATACATCAGTTGTATACACAAACCAAGCACTCTCAAAGTATTATTAGCACTGTAGTCTCCCATGGTAGGGTGAGACTGGCACTCACTCATCATCATCAGCCAATGCTGCAGCGGTCCCCGTGAGAGTGGCCTCTTCGCCATACTAGCAAATTGCTGAGCCTCAGATCTTTCAAATACTTAGAACTTTGACTCACGGATGTCACCTGTGCCAACATCAGTAGAAGCAAAGCCTGACGGCTGCCGGACTCACATAGAATGAGATTCTGCCTTGTCGGTGAAGGTTCATCATGACGTTGTCAACTGATGGTATCTTGACCATGTTTTCGTACCTGATGTGAGCTAATGAATATCCAAGATACGCATCTAGGGTACTGAAGTTTACATTCTCCTCGCCAATGCCTCGTCGACCTCCGCGGAATTCAGGATCCACTATCCATGATTATGCTTTCCGACGCACCTCGGGCATCTGCGCGTCGTCGAGAGGCTTTCCTGCGCCATCAAGTATGCGATAGGTAGGAATTGGCCCGCCGTCCTGGTCGACCGAGTTGAAGAACTTGAGGGTTGGTGTAATGGGCGAGCTCGTCGAGGGAAGATGGCCGTACGCTTCCACGGAGTACAGCACCGCGGCACTCCTTTGCGCAGAATATTTGGTGATAAAACAGAGGGCTGAACGTGAAAGGCGCGCTGTTCGGAGCATAGTAGAGGAGCGGGATGGACATTCTGCAATGTCGGACGGGTCTTATGAGACGCGCCCGGGCGCGTTTCAGCCCGTTTTGGTTGGCTGAGACTCGGTCTCGTGCGCGCGCCAACCCGTCCCCGCTTCCGAGCCACTGTGACCTCGCACTGGGCACCACCTGCGATGCACACTCTCGCCCTCTGATTCGACCTCGGCGTAGAGCCTCTCGACGACCACCAAAGCATGGACACCAGAGATTATTCGCCTGACGACACCGAACACGACACACGTAGACCACTCAAACGCGCCCGCCGCACTCCCCCACCCTCTGAACCATACACTTCGACTTCAACCAATTCCACTCACATGAGCAACGGGAACAGAAACGGCTCTACTCACACACCACCTCTGCCGCTGTTGTCGCTCTCTATCCTTGGAGTCGAGCCGCTGGATGAATTTATTCTCGAGGTTGCAGATTTTGTCCACGAGACAATCCGGACCTGGGAAGGCGCAGGGAAGGTAGAGCTGGAGGCCAAAATAGGAGTGCTACGAGACAAAACTACGGGTCAGAGGCTGCAGCTGCCATCAAGGGTCGAGACAAGTGCGTGCATCCATATGCAATTTGATGGCAATTCAGTTGGTCCTTTGACTTATCACACGTCTTCACCTTCATAGTACTGCCGGCAAAGAGTGTCTTGGACTACCGTTTTGAGTCAAACATGTCACCAGTAAGATTCGCTGGTACTGTCTTCCGTGCATCACGTCTCATGCATAGCTGGTTTTGCAGAAACAACATCAGTACTTTAACGGGCGTCTGAATCAACTCAAGCTCAATCCCCCAATCCCCCAATCTCCTATATCCTATGCGCATCTTCATCTCATTGACTCTTTCTACAACCCTGACGGCAGTCGTGATCGTGTGCGGGTCACGCGGGACGAAAACACCGGCACGGTAGTGGCTTGCATGCGCAAAGTGCGCCTAGGAGACTTGGATATATACTGTCCGAAGCGGGTTGCGGACTGGCGCATAAGTGTTAATGTGGAAATTCCAGGTGCGTTCATCTCAGATATTTTCGCTCATGACGATGACACCACGTGGGAACCGTCCAACATGCAGTTCCCCAGCCAATAGGAACCGCAACACATACGCGCAAAAAAGACAGACTCAGCTATAGCCATGAAGAATTCGTGATCGACCTGACACAAGTCACGTCTTCTACTGGTACATCGTCACAGGTAATCGCGCAGTTCTTGTCTCGTGAAATCCTGTCTAAGTCTGTCGCTCTTGACAGCCTGAGGTCCTACATGAGCTCGAGATCGAGGTGGCTCGCTCAGACTACCTTGTCTACGTTGCCTCGAAGCGCAACGACCCGTCTGCGCCCGAGGAAGTGCGCGGGGCATTCGACGAGCTTATACGCGCGTTCGTGAACAACGCACGAATCCTAGTGCGCAATGCGGACCCTCGTCAGCCACTCTAAGACTCCGCTTTCAGCATATCGCCGGCGTGTGATATTGCGTAAGTTATGTAGATGCGAGTCGGAGAATATCGGTGCGTCGAGAGGCCCGACGCTGTGAAATAGGTGTATTTTCGACGTGCTCATTGAGTATATTGCTAAGTCCTGCTGTATTGTTACTCATAGATTATAGGGCTGATCTTGTGCTGAATCTGCAAGGTCTTAATGGTTAATCCGGTTGTCGTTTGCTTATATCAACGCATCCGTGCAGAAAAGACATGCGCACGTACATACGTTTACCAGTACCGCATGTTGGAGATGCGGCGATGTCAGGGCAGTCTACATTCTGCGCACCACAAAGTCCAGTACTTGCGCTCCGTTTCCGAACACAGAAAACACCGCTAGTTGGTCCGAATGCCAGAACTTTCTCGTAAAGGCCTGAATGACAGAACATGTGACGTCGCCGGCACGGAGAGGAGCAAAGATGGGTTGTCTCTCCGTGACAACCAGTGACACAATGAAGACATGCACCCAGGAGAAGCGCAGATCGGCCTGACGGTGTTATCAGCGGTGCTGGAGGACGTTTTGCCATTGTGTGAGAGCCAGTAGACGGGTTTCTGATCACTTTGTGGTTGAAGCAGCACGAAGCCCCCAAGATCACAGTAATAATAGGCGTGGTTGCGTCGAGCACTGCGCCAGTCGCCTTGAGATGACATCAAGTAGCCACTGCGGCCTTGCCAGAGTGTACAAACTTTTTGACCAAGATACGGGTGCGACGGCCCCGCGATGTGATTACTGTAATCAGCAAGCTGGTTTCTGAACAGTGAAGATAAGTAATGATCGCCGTCTCCATAGCAAGGACGGACCAATCCGGGACGCGCTGAGGATTGTGGCACATTGTTGATACTGTCGTTATGGCCCTTGAAAGAATGCCGCACCTGGGGCAGCGTGTGTTCCGTGCCTTGGAAGAACAAACAACTCCAGGCGTCTCGTTCGAGGCAGCTGCAATGGAGGAGGCGATAGACTCCGGCCGTGGCGATTGTGCGTGCTGGCCGCGACGGTTGCTGGACCTGAGCTCCGTCATTTGTTGTCTTCACGTCCTCGTTCTCATCGTATCCTCTCACAGACACAAATCCGTTCGCCTCGCTGGACCCAGCGTGGACTTCTCGAACACCGCTTATCAGCAATGATCCCGCCCGTAGCCAGAACCATGACGGGTGATTCCTTCTTGACAACCGCGCCGGCGTCTCTGGACTGCCCATTTGCACTCTCCCCGCTGCTCAGTCGGGCCAGGTGTACTGGATGTACCACCAGGACTTCGTTCTTACCTGAACTAGGCGTGTCTTGCCGGGTCAAGACCAAGACCGCTCCTTAGCCCATGTCGCCTTTCCATCGTCTCGCCCTGGTCGGCCTTTCCTTGCTGGCCTTGGGTCCTCAGGCCGCTCTTTCGACTTTCGATTTCGTCACCTTTTCTTCTGTGCTGCAGTGCACTCCTTTTTCTATCGAATTTTCCGGGGGCCAGCTCCCCTCTGCGCTGCCGCTAAAACTGACCGTCGTCCCACTCGACTCGACACCCTTTTCTGTTAATCTTCCCGCCTCTTCTTGGAATGCGACCACTGGAACAGGCCATGCAATCACGTTCATACCTTTTCCCGCAGGCACCGAATTTGTTGCATCCCTCGACGACGCCAACGGAGCTCCCGCAGGTCTGACCTCGGACGTGATCAAGGTAGGACCGTTCAACAGCACGTTCTGCCTTCACTCCGAGCAAAGCAGCTCTGCGAATGCCGATGCCTTCGTAGTCACCGGAGAGCTGTCCCAATGCGAGCCTTTTAGTGTGGGCTTCAATACGTCTGAGGTGACTTCCGCACCTTCCGTTCGTGCTTTCACCCCAGGGGGCACTTCTTTCCTTGTGAACCAGAGTTCCTCCAATACTGGCACTGCGACATATGTCATGGATGCCCTTCAAGGCACAAAAGTCATTCTGCTTGTGTCTGACAATAGCGGGCTCAGCGAGACCAGCAGCCTGTTGACAGTAGGCGGCTCGGACGAGAGCAGTGGGACATGTATCCCATCAACGACCACTTCAGGCGAAATTCCCTCCAGTACTCCGCCTTCCAACTCTACAATGTACACGAGTTCAAGTACTACCGCTATGTCTATGGAAGAAACGAATCGGTCACAGACTCTTTCGCAGTACGTCCCAGCCACTGCTTTGTTTTTACTGGAGCTAACCAAATTCGTAGGGGCTCTATCATAGCTATTGCAGCGGTTTCTGGGACTGTAGTAGTGGTGATTGTGCTCGCCATGGCCTTCTGGCTCTATTGGTCCCGTCGCAAGGCAAGCAAATCTGCTGTCCGATACATGGAGCAGGGTGGCCCATATACTTCGCGTGGAGAGAAAGAGATACTGCCAGAACCTCCGAAAGCTTCGTCTTCAACAGCGCGGCCCTCCATTCCCCCTGCTGGGTCGACATGGTCGCTCAGCAGCGCTCGAGCGGACGAGACAACGGGCTACGTGAAGAACCCGCTATACACTAACTCCAATCTCTGGCTCTCATCGCCTACTACGCCGGGATCAGCTAGTCGTCGATCGAATACCCCACGCTCGAGTACTTTTAGTTCAAGGGACCGCAGCGCTCACAGTTCCACGTTCGCGATACCTCTACAGATGTCTTCTCCGTTGTCCCCTCTCCCTCAATTTGCCGATGCTTCCGCTAGTAGAACCACACCACTGCCTATATCCCGTTCTCAGACTCTTCGCAGCACTCGCTCGCAACGAGGTGTGCCTACCTCTCCAACAACAACGATCTCCACCGTCGACATCGAGCACATTCTCGACATGACCGAACGTTACTCTGCCGGTGACAGCACGGACCCTGCTATCCCGCCTTTGCCTAGGAATGTGCTGATGGACCAGGAGACGGTGCGCATGAGCGCGTACTTAGCGGGGCGCGAGGTGACGCACAGCCCTGCATTACCGGCGACCCCGCCCGGTGTGCATGTGCGCGTGCGCCCCCCGACCCTTGCCCTTGGCCATTCGGCCACCTCGTCCTTGTACTCGTTACGCTCGCCCGCGGGCACACATGGACGGTCGCCAAGCATGCAGGTCTATCGCGAGCCGCCGCAGGCGCTTGTGCCCTCGTCGCCAATGCAGACCCCGCTCCCGTCCCCGTTGTGATGCGATGTCAGATACTAGCTGTGGAATATAATATTGGAGCGGACTTAAATCGAGGCAGAGCCTCTGTCTCAGTTTCGGTGCGCTCGACGCGTGCCCATTCGCGACACCCCCGGAGTCAGACCGCTCAAGGGATGAGATTGGCACGCGTGCGTTGGCGCCGGATAGAAACTGGTAGTCCGACGCGGCTTTGACCAAGCGGTCGAGCATCGGTATCTCTGTGCACGTTTGATCCAACCCTCGGCTTGCACTTGGGTTCATCACGATCCACGGAACGATGCTCCAGAGTACATATCATCGGGTCTGACTCTGACGTCCATGCGGGTGGATATAATCTTTCTTGTACCATCGTCTTGACTCTCTTGCTAGGAACAATCTGGGATTGATCCGTCATGTTTTACCAGCCTGTGTCTTTGCTTGCAGGTAGACGTTATTGTGACTTCGATTTACACACAGTATAGTTTGAACTTGTCTCTTGTCCTCCTGTACCAGTACATGTTGGTAGTCGCTATCCTTTGCATTCGGCCCTGAACACGCAATGGGCTTGCCTGCAGACTACGAGATCAACCAAGTAAGCTCCGAGATCAAAGGCGTGTACTCCGGGGCGGTGCTGAACTTCAGCATACAACATGCAACGAGTCTAACCCCGACAATGACTATGTATAGCACGCTATCCAAGTTTCCTCGTTCGTTATTCCCAGTCATCTCATCACCATCGCGCTAGGCTCACCACGCCTTGTGATCTATTACGAGTCGCACCCAGTCTTTGATAATAGAGCTCTTTTGATCCATGCGACATGATTTGTACAGCGGAAAACGCGGAAGCGGCGACATCCTCTCATCTCCAGCTGTTCTCACTGAAATGATGCTACATGCAGCTTCTCTGTCTACTTTTCATAGCCGCTGGAAGACTCGAGCTTGCGCAGTTCTCTCACTACTTTATCGAGACGGAGTATATCCCTCCAATATCAGAGACGTCAGGCTAGCTTGCTGGTGGGGACTGGGGTTTCGCTAGTTGCTTGACAATCCGGTAATTGCCACGACCCTCTTTGCCAACGACGAGTAGGTCCACAAGACGATGGAGAGACTATTTGACAATTGTTTCCGCCGTGTGCAAAGTATTGTAAGTTCACGCGAGGTAAAATTTAGCAGAGCTGCCAGCTGAATGCAGTTTTGTTGCTTACCAGATCGATCCAACCTGCCACATACTCGCAGTGACGAGCTCGCTCCGAATAGCTCACAATCACCTACACTGAAATATCGGCTAACTTCCCTATGTGGACTGTCGACAGATCACACGAATTGCAGCGAATCCGCAGAATCTCTGGGAATTCTACATCTGATGCTTGGCGTAGCCGGCATGGACAGGGATAGGTCGCAGAATAAGGGTATCTGTCTCGCATCCACATCTATCGAGTTGTTGAGATACTCGCCAAATTGTCGCACTTTGGTGACATAGCGTCAACCAGCGATACTCATTGCAAATGAACTCAGCGATTTTCTCAAGAAAGTCCTACGAGCTGCGTTTGAATGCTTCTTGGTCGGGAAGAACATGGCTTGGTTGCTGGCGAAAGTCCAGCCTCGTGTGGCGTAATTTGACGTTTTGGACGGAACTATACTTCGGATAAAGGGAAGTGTCTGGTGGTGCACTATCCGGACGGCGCGAACAGCGTATGGCAAATTACGGTTAGTAAGCTGGAGCCCATAAACTACATTGTGAGCCACTATGATATTCGTCCGAAGTGCATATCTGATTCTATAATTTGTCAAGTCCACCGGAAAGACACAGAGGATTACCACATTCTTGGTCGAGACTGTGTGAAGCATATCTTTAGCATGACTTCGCAGCGAGCTCTGAATTGACGGAGCATACAGTAAGCAATTGGTCGGTAAGCAATTACAGATTTGCAACTGAAAGCCTTGCTCCGGATAGTCTCCTGCCTCGTCGCCTAGGTGAAGTCAGAAGGTGGCCAACGAGGAGAAAGCATTCTCACTGAGATATTGCGATCGTGTGAAAGCCGCCAGAGATCTTCGCGTCAATGAGTTGACAACAAGACATCGTCGAATACGACTATCTTACAGAGCATTTCAACGACGACAAGGGCTCATGATCAAATAGCGCCGCCGAAGCAACCCCACCTGATATCCCATTTTCCCAGAGGGCTCACTGATGGTATGCGGCAATACTTTTCAAGCTATGAGCTGTTCTCACAGTTTCAGTGCCATAATAATAGGATCTCCT